AAAACAATGTATAATAAAACAATTATTGGATTCAGTTTTTGTGATATCCGGACTAATCAAGGTCTCAATTAGTGTTATCAGCCTCAGCCTTCGGCATCAGCTGATAACACTTACCTCAACCTTGATTATTCCAGATATCACATAAACCTCATCCAATAATTATACTGTTGGTTCTGTGTGTGTGTGTGTGTGTAATTATTAGTCCCTGAGTTTAATCTCTTAAGAAAAATACCAGGAAAAAATATCAATGAATACCTATTTAGCAAAGAAAGACCTTGATAAAGAATAGATGCTAAAATAAATAAATGCAGTAGCAAATCCACAAAAATGATGCCATACTTTTCACCTGTTTCCAGATGAGTGTGATTAAGGAGTATTTATAGAGCTTGGAAAACTGAAAAAAAAAACTCTTTAAAGAACCTCTTCAAACGAGAAAAAGAACAAATTTCGCCCACTTGTAACACCTGGATACTAGAGGCCAAAGAGTTGGGAGAGATGCATTCATCAGTGTACCATCTTTTAGTTTCCCTTCACGGTAGTTTTGTTATTTCAACTTTTAACTGATTTATTCGTACTTTTAGGTCTATTCACGATTCCAAAGCCAAAGAATATGAAACAGAGAATATGCTTTATCAAAGGTGGGTACAACTATTACCTCATTCCAATAAAAACATAACACGCATTGATTCCACACACTGCCCCATACTACTGTAAAAACAAAGCCGCAAGCCCAAGGGCATTGTTGTGTTTTGTTTTGTTTCTTTTTTTTTTTTATCAAAGAATTGTATGCATAATAAATTATGGGGCAGTGCTAAAAAATCTTGACAAAGGTTATTCAGTACTGACCTTACCGAACACATCTATGCAGTGCTTTAAAATTTCCCTCATCGCAAGAAGTCAAAGGCTACCGTCCATTGGGTGGGTTGGTACCTTTGATTGTGAACCGTCGGAATCCATCACCCACGATTTCGCTGTTGTGAGAAGTTTGCTCTGGAAACCATAACATTTTCACCCCCACCATACAAGTTTTATGTATCGAATTGTACCAATAGTCGAATTTGGATAGTCTACAGAGTAGTGGACGGACAGAGCTGAATAACGTATACGCATGCGCCAGGTTTTGCCGCGGAAACACAGATTTTGAGTCGTTCGCATGGTTGATTTCCTATTCTGTTGCCTCGAGGCGTCGTTTTCCTTGCCGCTTTTCTTTTACAGAACAACCTCTAAAAATTTGGTACACCCCTTCAAAATGTTCAAAAATTAATTTTCTCCTTTAAACCTTTGAAAATAGGAAAGTGCCTTCGACGAAAAGAGAGTTCCTCGGTTTTAAAGCTCAGCCCTTGTTTTTTTCCGCTAATTTCGCTAAATTTTAGGACACTTGAGCCCGCGTTGTTGACCGCATACACGCGGACGTAGCATTTCATTATTCAGCTCTGTCTAATGGACGCGCTATCTCTCATCTTGCTTAGTAGCCTGGCCGCTTACCTTTTAACGGTAACTGACGCGAACGAGGCATCTTTGACTCAAATAGTGTTTGAATGTTTTTGTTGTTTTGCTTTTTTTGTAGTTTCTGTTTTGTTTGTTTGTTTGTTTGTTGTTGTTGTTCATTGTTGTTTTTGCAATAACCTGAGCTAAAGCTGTTTGGGAAGCACGCGTTGATGTTGTGTGTACGGTCAGGTTACTAGCAGTGAACAGTCAAATTTTAAACGCATCTTGAAACAGTTTTCGAACGGTTAAGTTTCTTTTTCGATTCTCCTAACGCGGTAAATGGTAAATGTTTCACATATATTTTTAAATAGCAGAGATGGATACAGTTTGGTTTCTCTAGTATATTTCTACTTTAGCTCGCTTTATTCCTTCCGACCACAGGGAGCCCAGACAAGCGACGAGTCTGGTTGTGTATTTGAAATATAAAGGAATGTATGGGAGAATATTGAAGAGTCTTATTATCGTAAGTTAACGATAATAAGACTCTTCAGTATTCTCCCATATATTCCTTTTTATTTCGAATAAACAACCAGACTCGTCGCTTGTCTGGGCTCCCTGTGCTGTCACCTTTGACACTTTTCACCAGTCACCCAACACACATGGAGGAGGAAACTGGACTGAACATGTTTCATTATTTGTACGAATGTTCCAAGTGTGATTTATAACTGTGGATGGACTTCCTCACGTATCTTTTGTCCACTCTTCTTTTTAGCGCCGACAGCCCCGACAGCCCCGAAACTTACATTGCTGCGAAAAAAGAAGTAGCCCCGTATGACAGGTAGATTTCTCATTAATTATAATAATGAATAGAAATAAATGTTTCTACGGTGCAAATTAATTTTAATATAAGAGATCCACAATTTTTTTTTCATCGCTATTTTTTTGTGTAAACATGTGCTTGTAGCCTCACTTTAGTCATCAATTGTTAGTTACATCAGTTGGGTATTGTAATGATTAGGAAACATTCTTTCTAGGGGATGTGTTTCGAATTGCCCAGTTTAAATGATGACATTTGTTTTATTGCAGTTGTCCCGTGCTTATCATCACAGAAAATCCTCTTCCAATGGGGTATGTGTCAAACTTTGTTTGCTTTTGACAAGTTTACTGTGTGTGCCCTTTTGACAAGTTTATTTGTATTTGTATTTTGCATTCTTTTAATGCGACCGATTTCTCTGCAGTTTCTCTTCTCCAACCAAGAAGATTGCTGACCAGGGATACGAATTGTAAGTTATCTCGCTTATCCTATCGAAATTTTACTTAAGAACATCTGATAAAATTCAGTTAAACTCAACAGTTTAAACTAAATCTGCGAAAGATAACCAATCGGGATGGAAAGTTTTACTTGAACAGTCACTCGGAACGTCTCGAACTCGTTGAAGGCCAGAAAGATAAATGCAGTATCCACTCCTTCCCCCCCCCCCTCTCCCCACAAAAAACGCTCTGGAGCCCTAAATCGCGATTTTGAAGAGAAAACAAGATGAACTGCAAGTAGACAGAGTGTTTGCAATTAGCTGAGAGTTTCACAGCCAAACTGACCGAGTTTTCAGTTCTACTCTCTGAACGTAATACGAACACTACTTTCCGTTCATCACTGTTCATTTTCGCCTTTAACTGCTTTTCCAATTGTTAAGTTTCTCTTATTAGATGTTAATCTGCCGTTTTTTTTTTTTGTCTCTAGAATAAAGCCACCGAACGGTGTAGCACAGAGTCATTACAGGTATTCTAACAACCTGCTCGATCGATAAGTTAATGATAGGAAAGTCTTTTAAGACTTATATAATATTTAAAAATATTTAAATCAATATTTATATTTATATCAATATTTAAAAATATTAATGGTCGAAAGCAATCCTTTTTCGCTAAAAAGTGCGTTTCGACTGAGTGTCATCGTATCAAAACGGAAGTTTTCACAACCGCCAATCAAAACAAAGGGAAATAAGTTGCCTGTTATGATCGTTAGCTAAGTTTGTATTAATTTAAAGAAGCTCGTGGTAGAAGCTCTCCGGAAAACACTTCAATTCTCAGTTTGAACCAATCAACTGCGATTGCAGCGCTTAAATGTCTTTGGTTCGACTAATAATAATTACAAAAATAATAGCGCATAGACTTGCTTCGAAAACGAAGGAAGGTATGAAACCTTCATTTTCCATACCGAAAAATGATTTGAAAAAATGCAATGAAGCTCATTCACACAACAGAGGCTCGACGCTTGACCACATTGAAGGCGTGGATTTGTGGGATTTTGAAACTGGGTTTTATTTGGTTGCCATGTTCATTTGAACCAGAATCTGTTACTTCATGAGAACGTCAACATAATTCTTACACAGTCTTCTTTATGTTGTAACTCCTCTTTTCGTTTAGTCTCCCAGATAAAAAGCCTCCAAAAGCGAGATCCATCGAAAATCCCAATTACGAGAAGACGTTACCAATAACGGTAAGGCTTCCAGTCATTTGATTATTTGTTTGTTTGTTGTTTTCATTTTGTTACTCCAATTGATCTTACCCAAAATAGTTCTAGAAGTGTAAGGAAAGTTTGAAACAGTCACTTTGAAAGCTGGATCGTGTTTAGAGCCAAGTTGGCTCCGTTGTGTGTACAATCCCTTTAGAAATCAATGAAAAAAAAAAAAAAAGCGTTTCCCAATAATGATGTTCGAACCTTCCCTTTGATTTTCCATATTTCTTTCCCTTTCTGAGGGATGTTCGAAAAACCGGGATTCTATTGAATCGTTTCTTTTAACCTTTAACATCCAAACATCTGATCTAAACTCTCCCTTTTATCTTCTACATTTTCTTAAAAACAGTTGAGAGAATTTACTGTCATATCAGGATGACACCGTCGCTTGTTCTCTGATAGTGTATTGATCTTGTAAGGAGAAAACACATTTTGATACCCCAGCTTGGTCAAATTTTAAGTTGTAGGGTCTTTGGATTTTTACTTACGGCGTATCTATTTTACGGTTCTTTACTTATTTTCCCGGCTTTTTATTTTTTTTTTTCAGCAGAACTACGAGTATGCGAAACCAGAAATTAAGACGGAGGCCAACTGTTAGCCAACATGTGTAAACAATGGAAACGATATCCCAACAACTTAAGTTTAAATTAGAACTACTGGCTAGTTTGTGGTGTAAATGTGTAAACTGTAGTGTGGCAAATTTTTAGATAATGAAAGCGGTGCGGCACTCCGTCCAGTAGTTTTCAGTCCTAGAATTCTGGGGTATTGAAGTCGTTTCGGTGCTGCAGATAATCCCTATTTAATGCATGAAAACTATAAAAACTACAACAACAAAACAAAACAAAACTTGATTATGTAGTAAGGAGAGAGAAGGCCAATCAAGAAAAAATGATTCTAAACGAAAGGGGATGGTTAAACTTGAACACGTTTCTCCTCCTATAGGAACCGCACTTACAAAGTAAAACACCTTGCGGTAGCCACATGTATTTGTCAAGTTTATCTCATAAGGAATGCTTGCTGAGAAGAATTTCACTTAATATATTTGCAGCATTATAAAGAAAAGTCCTTGTAAGGTAATTTACGCTGGCAAAGTTTATCTTTTACATATAGTTATGGTGACATGTCGGTGTTTGGGACAAAAGAACTTGCCAATGAAAACTTTGTATTTAAAGACTCTTTCCTTGTCATTTCCAAAAAGAATTTGATGAAAACGCGTTGTATCGGACCTCCTCGTTTCCTTCCCAGCATACCCCGCCATCTTGGCCACGACATTATGGTCCTCGGATTTTTATCGCGTTTGAGCAACAAATGGGATAGACTGGGAACGAGTCTAATAATACGATGTGGGTCTTTGTTTCTTGGTTCAACAACGTACAGAATGGAAAAAGGAAAATACTAGCGATCGGTCTAGGAAATAGCCACGAATTTCTCAGTCTTTTAGTGGAAAGTGGGAGTATTTGAGAAAGTTAACAATTCCAAAATCCAATTAGTGACGGGTGATAATTTCTTTAGATGACATTTCACTGTCTCTTTCGACTCGGCGTCGTTTAACACGCATCTTGTTTGCGCTTATTTTCCAAACGTTCGATTTGTTTCCTTCTTTAAAAGGATTCGCGTGTGAAAGCAACTTTAAGCGTCTCTATGTTTAAAGCACGTGTGAGTCTGGCTGTAGAAAAACTGAATGAGGTGGTTTTAGCATTTGAATACAGTTTTCTCGCAGGTGTGTCGCGAGTAAAAAGGAAATACTTTGGTTTGAATTTACAACACAGGTTTTTGATCATACTTTAATTCAAAGTAGTTTGTTTCGTTTTAAACTGTTGATACAGAGTGATTGTGACTACAATTCCATTGCAGCAAGGTTTGTGCAGGACAATCGATCAAACGAGTCTTGCACGCTTGCACAATTCTTTGGAAAATGCTCGGATTTGTTTGCCTGTCCGGAAAGATAGAACTACCGATCCCGAACATTGATGACTTTCGCTCGGGTTCGCAAACCATCTACTCGGTCAATCATCGTGTGCAATATTCCGAGCGCGAAAAAGACCTTTTCGTAAAAATAAGTTCAGGTCAGTGAGGATATAATATATAAAGTTTGCAAAAGCTTTGCTTTGTACAGACGTGTGAATGAAAATTTTGATAACGAGGTCTCGTCCACAAGATTGACTGAAAATAGTTACTGAGTTAGCATGGATGGCTAAAAAGAGTGATGCTTTTAACAGTTGCGTGGAAATAGTATTGTTAGTTTATCAATAGAGAGAAAGACGGGTTGTACAACAGGCACAAAACAGTATTTTCGTATGTTTTAGGACTCGAAAAGACAGAAGCAGAAATGTTTTATTGTTACCTTATTTAAAATTCACGGTTCTGTCTGTAAGTGAAGAATTTGCACTGTATTTAAAGAGGTTGTATAGTAATAAAGGCCAGACAATATTTTGTTCCAGACATGTGAAGTTGTACGTGTCCGGTCGAAGAAATTCCTAATAAATTGAAAAAGGTCAAGTGATGATCAATCATATCCTTATGAGGGGAAAAAAAAAAAAGACAACAACAAAAACAAAGAAACAAACAGAAGAACACAAAATTGAAGAAAAGAACTTAAAACATACCATTAATCTTAATTCCCCGATTGCCAATGAAGAGAAACCAGTAACAAACACTCGGTCTCCAATCGGTCACTCGGGACCTTAAGCAGTCTGGACGGCAACACCGTGGAAGTCGTGAATCAAAAAAGGAATTTTCATTTTTAGTTAGAATTTGGCGAATGACTGGATGTGTTTACTGTCTCTCACGGCGCCACATCTTAACTTCAGCTTAACGTATGTGAGCAGCGTTGAGTTCCAAATGGAAACTGAGCTAATTTTCCGTCGGGGTTTCCATTGTTAGACCACGTAAATTTTGGGGATTTCACGTTGTTGTTTTGCAGAGGACGGCTGAGAAATCTACAAATTTTAAAATGCACGTGCTTAACTATTGTTTTCTGCTCATTAGATCTTTTGTTTTGTCACGTCCTCGTTGCTGTCGTCGTCGTGGTTTGCTTGCTTAAGGTCCCTACTTCGTAAAGGCACTCGAGAGCTCTAACTCACCGATCCTACAGCACATCCAATCACAGACTAACACGAACGCATCCGAGCACAGGCAGCCCAAGCTCACTCCTAGAAAAGCGGACGTGACTCTTACCGTGTTGCGCAACGATATATAGTTATAAACGTTTGTATGGGATGTTATCGGTTTGCCTTAAATGAGAGAAAAAAGATGTCTTGTTTTGAAATAAAATGGACTTACCTTATTGCCTTGTTGTTTTCTTTGTTGATTCCTAGAGTCTCAGGCCATTTTGAAGCGTTTACGGCGAGTTAGCGCTATGATGGTGTTCAACTGCTAAAAGAAAGTCTTTCTTTTAGTAGTTGAACACCAACATAGCGCTAACTCGCCGAAAACGCTTCAAAATGGCCTGAGACTCTAGAAATCAACAAAGAAAACAACCAGGCAATAAGGTAAGTCCATTTTATTTCAAAACAAGACATTTTTTTTCTCTCTTTTATGGCAAACCGATAACATCCCATACAAACCTTTATTAATATAAAACGTTGCGCAACACGGTAAGAGTCACGTCCGCTTTTCTAGTAGTGAGCTTGGGTTGCCTATGATCCGAGTATTAACAAGCTTGCATTCTATTCATCCTAATTCTGGAAAATGTTATATAAGTACCGGTAGCTTGAAAACCCTCAAAATTGGTTAAAGGGCAATGCTCAAACGTACAAGAAACCTTCTAGGGAGCGGCTGAATGCCTACAATAATGAAGGCACTGTTATAAATAAGAAGCACAAATTAAACAAAAGAGCGGATTACAACATCACTATAAAATAATTTATTCCATAGGCCTTTATTTTTACGAAAGGAGTGATTCAGTTAAGCCCGTGAAACAGTATTTAACTTCTGGATATTGAAAATCAATAAAATGGTAAGTATGCATTCCTCTGGACGTGAAAAGTAATGTTATCGGTCACAATGATTTGAATCTAACAGCCTATAAAATCACATCAAAACCAACCACTTACTTTTCACGAACCAAACTTATAATAAGATTCAACCGACAATCACCTCCTCACTTGACTATGATCACTCCTCTCAATTTGTCAAAAAATCAGCTACTGCCAAGGTTTACCCAAGAGCGCAGCTTTCCTTTTCTCTTCCTACTTTTCTCACTGACTAGACTATACACATTGTCACAGTCAAGTTTACACACCTTTCTGGGTACCCGCTATCTTGGCCCCCTTTCTTGACAAAGGGCCTCCATTGAAAGTTGAAGGGGCCCACTGGACCCTCTTCGACCGATTTCTACAATAAACCCTGACTCTTCCAACAAGAGTCCTACTCTCACCAGGATGATCAGACAAAACCATCAACCGTTACCCACTTACTGTGATCGACAATTAATCGAAAACAAATCAGCAACTTTAAAATCATATTCATATCCACCATGTGTCCTCTGGTTTTTACTTAATTATCACAATCTCAACACCTAAAGCAGCCTATCAATTTTCCAGTTAATTATAAATTTATATAATAATAATAATAATAATAATAATAATAATAATAATAATCTATATTTGTTCTTAAACCCGCCCACCCATCGTTTTCACAGCATATTATTCATTTCTGGTAATGATTCTGTCAGGTTATTTTCCGGTTATGATATGATTTGTCGTCACTAAAGCTATACAGATAAACGCCCAGCCAATCACGAACAGGATCCAGAAACTTATTCCGAATGGAGACTTGTGCTTGTTGTCATAGCAACCGGTCATCTCCATCAAATGTTTCTTACCAAAATACGCGAGGCAGGCCGGGATTACATACTGCACCCCAGTGCCGGCGTAAGACCCTGTTACGCCGACGAGTATTTCCAAGTTCTGCGTGATGAATGCCACTAAGATAGGTAGGGTGATCGTGGCGAGTGGAAAAGCGATCCGATCCACTACCCAGGGGTAGGGGTGTCCTTCACGGAGAAATAAATTCTTTAGATTGTCGCGGAGGGTTATGGAAATGATTGGGAAATTGGTGCTGAGGGTGAAAACGGGAAACAGAGCGAGGAAATATCCGACAAAACTTCCTGCAGTTTTCCTGAAGTTGAGCGTATATAAGTCGTTCAAGTCCTCTGCGCGGAAAGCGAAGATGGCGGTGAATGACAACAGAGCGTAAAACACCAAGACTATGACGAAGTCAGCGATAAAGAGCAGTGTGACACGCGACTTGTTTTTCATTGGCGTGATCAGAGAGGGGAGCGAGTGCTGGCACATGTATGAGTACACACACACCCCGAACAGATTAGGCAGCCCTGAGAAATTTGCTGTAGGAGTATCGTGCTCCTCCTGGCCTTTACCAATCTTGACTAGCGCGAGGACAATCATCAGGATAAAAGCTGTTAAGGAGCAGTCGTAAAACACATGAGCATTACTTCCTCATTCCTCTTCATCTCTGACAGACCAGAGAGAGACCCAGTACATAGACGGGAGAAAGAGGAGACCAAAACGGTTTGCATACGGGTAAGGTGAGAAATACACGGCTATCCTTAATATAAGGGTTTTAAATCACACTCTTGTGCATTCATGTTTTGGCAATTATTTCTTTCATTTCTTTTGTTCCGATTAAGAGTAATTTTCATGCGGGGGTGATTTCATAGTAGACGAAACAAAAAATTTTTAAAATACGCAACACGCTGATGTGAACAAAACAGCCGTAAGACAAGAATCAGTAAGTGAGTACATGTAAACCATCTACTCACCAATCCATCTCATAATTGTGGTAAAAATCTGTAAGTACTTTGTTTTCTGTACGTTGAAAAATGCAAATGGTCCTAATGTGACAGTGAAAATGGCCTGAAAAAGGAACAGAAACGATTGGTCAAGTACTACACCCTACTTTCACACATGTTGCTTCAGGATCATGTGTTTTGAGTAAAGAGACGCATACAAACACTCTTCTTTAACAATTACAAAACGAGCTCTCGATTTCTGTGTGTGATAGTTGGCGAGGGGGAAGCTCGAATCAGTTATCACGCATAGCATCACGCATAGTACCATGCAAACTATCACGCATACTATTATGCATACTCTCACGCGTCCTATCACATATCACGCATAGTATCACGCATACTATCACACATACTATTATGCATACTCTCTCGCGTACTCTCGCACATATCTCGCATAGTATCGCGTATACTATCATAAATACTATTATCAATACTCTCATGCGCACTAATACATATCACGCATAGTATCACGCATACTATCACTCATACTATCACGCATACTCTCACGCGTACTATCACGCATTCTTTTTGTCAACAACTTAGGAGCTTGCTGGGGAAAAACACTTACTAAAAAGACACGATAAACATTGCCTTGTGTGACCGAGCCCCAACCTGGACAAGGCTTGTTGTTGGATTGGGTAGAATCAGTTTCATTCCAAGATCCGCTGGGAACAGAGGAATAACAAAACAATAAAATCAAAAGGAAGTATTGCACAACACTTTGCAACGGTACTGCAGCTCTCTTCTGAGTGGGATATGAGTATTACAACAATAAAATGATTAAGAATAATGACAGTAGACGCCTTCAAATGTTGTTCAGGGGCATGTTGTGACGGTTGCAATTAGTAGGGGAAAGTCCATGTACTTATAGGTGATGTTAGGAATCTCCAATTCTCCTTTTGAGAATGCTGTTAGCATTGTAACACAATCCACAGGATAAACAAGCTGCAGCTTTCTTACCCTTATAGCTAGCTGGCAAGGGATCCACCAGATCTCTAGTGGACCTCCCGCCGGAGAACAAAGCAGACCAGTTAAACCCTTGCAGACTTCACAAGAAACCTGTGAGGCCCTTATGATTTCCAGAACAAAAACAACAACAATAACAAAAAGAATAACTAAATTACTTAATAAATATAATTTACACATCTAACCATGCCACTTTGGTTAAAGACTTTGGAACAGCAGCTGCATAAATTGCCAAGTCACCATACAGGTACAAAACGATACAGAAGTAGAACAGTCGCAATCCAACTATCAATAAATAGTATTAACACAATATTAAATATTAAGAACATCAAAGTTGAATGAAATGGCCATAGAGTATTATAGCAAAGTAAATGGGGCTGAGTTGTTCAGAAGTGAGAATTTACACCCCAACATCAGTATGCAAATTCTCCACACCATTTTCTTTATATTTCTTTAACTACTGACAAGAATAATTTGTTGAACATCAAGCTATTCTTTACAAGGAAATCACTTCGTTTTCTTTATCCTCATCTCCTTATCACCATAATGTGTGACTCTGTGGTTACGCTGTAAGGGGAAATCCAATGCTCACTAAAAATGGTAATTGCACTGAGTGGAGTGCAATTTGGGCTGAAATCATATGCATGATTTCAAAATTGAACGAGTGCACAGCGTGAGTTCAATTTGAAATCACAAGTATGATTTTAGACCAAAATTGCACGACATGAGGTTCAATTACCACTTTATTACATCCATTTTGAAATTGCCCAAATACAGGACTTGGTCAGTTCAAATATTTTATTGATGCAGTACTGATCCGGTTTTTAAATAAAAAGCGAAACCGGAAACGATTTTACATCTTACTTTGTATGCAAAACAGAAAGACTTTGATGTCATGTGTCAAAAACTCAGTCAAGCATAAAAGGATGTGATTTAGAGCAAAAAATGGTGTGATTCGTGAATAAATCACACCAATTAGACCCAATCAGATTACAGGGACCACCAGTGATTTCAAAATGGATGTAATAAACCCTCTAACCTAACTCCCTCAAGTGATTAACATGAAACTTCTCCCACTAATATCCATACATTCTCCAGCAAACAGATAATGAGAATATTCAAACTTATCTGATCTAACACCAAATTCTCATAACTTATTTATGAGGAAACGTGTAGCAGCTAGAGGGGAGAATTAAAAATCAGATCTTGGGAAATAAAGAGTTAATCCAGACTTACAAGTCATAGTTATGTATTATCATCACTGTGTGCAGTTAACTCTAGACATTTTCTTTTTTTCTTTCAGGAGGGGTGGGGGGAGGTTGGGAGTTTCAAGCAACCTAGTTAGGACATTAGCACACTAATTATGCAGGAAAAGATGTTCTCTGGTTTTCTGGACATGGAAGAAATATGGAATTCTTTCATATTAAAGAACTGTTTACAACCATTCTAAAATTTTGTACCAAAATCATTATTTGTTGAGGTGTCCTGCAATTCTCTGGTTAAAATAATTGAGAAGAGAGAACAAAACAAGTTTTGTTATAAGGGTGGTTTCAGATATGTTTATGAACTGAACAGAGTATGTCTGTCAAAGGTTATTACATTAAGTATGTGTTGTTTCTGTTGTTTATTGCCTGCCTTTTGTTTGTACCCTTACTCTTGCAAAAACACTGGGCCTAAAAGCAAAGAGTTTCTGTGTAAAAAATGATGGGACTGTTCTTGGACCAGCAATTTAATTCATTACTTACATTTGCTGAAAAATAGCTTGGCCATCTGACCCTATGAATAGAGAAAAAAAATGTATCACTACTATAGGACAGAGATATCTTGATTATCATGATATGACGATTACAAGTGTATAAACATGGTAATTGAACCAAGTGGAGTGCAATCTGGTCTGAAATCATATACACATACACATACACACATTTGTAAAAAGTTGCAAAAGGTGTCTACCATTTTCCTGCAATTTGATTGGTTACTTTCAAAACAAGCCTTAATAAGTTGATTTGTTTTTAATTAGTCAAGCTTTCTCATCAGTTGGGAAAAAGAAACAGTGTGATGATAAATAAATTGTACCAATAAGAGCAAATCAGATTACAAGGATCACCAGTAATTTAAAAGTGGATGTAACAAAGATTTTTTGGCTGTTTCTCATCCAGTTACTGTGTGGAAATTGCTCAAAAGCAAAGAGAGAAGAGTCTCTATAGAACCCTCACCATTTCTACGCGCTTGGTTATTTCATAGAGATCATGCTCCTTTCTTGAGCCACCCAACGTATCTAGTGGTGGTAAACAAGAACATTATCTGCCTTCGATAAAGTATTTTTTTTTTTTTAAGTGTAAGCTCTGTATTTAGGGAAATTCAATAATCATGCTCCACATTATTAATTTTTTTTTACAAAAAATTCAAACAGGAATTTTTCCGGCTAAAAATTTTTAAGAAAAGCTCTCGAAATATTATATATATATATATATATTTCAGCAGAAAGATGAACACAATTTAACAGTTTTACAAGAAAACCATGTCATCAAATCTTTATGCCAAGCTCTTTGATCAGATAGGCATCTCTCTAAACCATGCAAGTATCTAGTACATCATACATCACCAGCTTTCTTTATAACCTTGTGCTTTACAATCTAAATTCAGCTCTAGGGATGCTGCCTTATTTGCCAAATGTCATCACAGAGCTCCAAGCTGCCATTGTTTTGGTTGTCACTGCTTTGGCTACTCATGTTCAGCAGACATGAAGCAAACTTGACAGTGGTGCTTTTTAAGCATCCAGTGTGTACAGTCTGAAGTCCATATTCATGAAATATAATTAACTAAGGCTTGTCATCTCTCCTTTTGGTTTTTCAAGTATTAGGCCTCAACTTATCATGTGAACCTTTATTGTTGTCATTTGCTAACCATATTGTAAACTGTATTTCAGTAGCAAGCAATTGTGGCCAGAAGTACAGTATGTCATGTATAATTTAACATAATTCCCTTAATTCAAGCTCTCTTTTTTCCTATTCCATTTGTCCTTACTTTTTTTTTGCAACAGCTAAAATGTTTAATTCTGAAGATCTCTTTTTAATGATAGGTTGCCAAATACCAAATAAAAAAATTTTCAGTCTATCAACTCCATATATATAATATTATATACTCACTGATAAGTGGCACTTCTTCATCAGATTCATTAGGAGATGCATCTCTTTCAACAACAGTATCAACACTTACAGCTGCATTAATACTAGAAGGATGTATCTAAAACAAAAAGAGAAGACATGATCACCACCCTTGTTTATCTCTTTACTAATAAACTGTTGAAGAATGAGTTTAGTAAGTGTAATCATGTAGTTTGTTCACATGAAAACACTTCAAATTTAGGAAATTTAATACTTTGGAGAGTGATAGAGATTAGGAACTTTCCTAGCCAATGCTGGGCTTTTAGTCAGCAGATACAAAGAAATTAGGGAGGCAAGAGAAAATTGCTGGGTCTTTTTTGTGGAGACAAACAAATAGGCAGATAAGAGAAAATGGTTGGGGTTTTCGTCTCCAGTGCTTTTTCCCTTGCTTGCCTTGCTCTTTTGCTTGTCCTCACAAACTTACTGCCTGGAGAGGCAAAGGCTTTTTGTGAGCTAATGCAACATACATAAGGTTCAAGTGTGGAAAGGGAATCTAATGCTTTAAATAAAAAATTTTTTTTTTTCAATTTTATGTTGGTTTACCAATAATCAGATGATTTGTCCTTACAGGTGAATGTGGGAGGCACTGATGGGGCCCTAACAAGACAGTGATGTTTCTTAATACCAGTAAGGAGCTCTAACAGCTAAGCCACAATGGGAAGGCAAAGCTGATTCCTCACTGCCAAAGCAAAAGCCATAATTGTGATATTTGGATATACGGCAATAAAAACCTTCGATGTTCTTTGATTTCAATATTTTAATCCACATGGCAGCCAACGAGTACCACAACAACAACTTTCACTAGGCATCACGGGATGCCTACAAACACAACCTTTTCACACTTCTGGTACAATACACTACAATAATCAAAACAAAAAAAGGTGCAGTCAATACTTACTGATGCTGACAAACTTTTTTCTCTTGCCTTTAGTCGTAACATGGCATTAGCAGCAGCCATTGCCTCTACCATGAATGTGGAGGTTATAAAACTAAAGGAAAAATTTGAAAAGTATTTCAAGTTTCAATTTATTTTATTAGCAATATCAGTGGTTACACTAATTTACCTAGTATCAGGGTCAATAAGCGCAGTTGCATATATCACTTTTGAAAATTTGCTTAAATCAGTGACATCATTGTGACCTCCAGATAAAGGCCAAGATCCTGGCAGCTAAAATAATAGGACAGTCATAACACTACAACTGGTTACTTTCTCAAAACATTCAGTTTGGAGCATTTAATAAGCAAAAGTTAGAGTAAAATAAAAAGGAAAGATAAACTGAATCATTTGTATAAGAATTTTGTAAATAAGGTTACAATCACATGTTTTACACATGCTAATCACATGTTTTTCACATGCTAATCACAAGTTATTCACATGCCTGAATTTTTTAGTCAGTTTGAACATAATTTAAGAATGAGATACAATGAAATATATGAAGTTCATATATTTTGTACTGCGGTATTAGATACATATGATGCACGATCTTCGCAGTAGATAGCGCTATTTAAGCAATAGCGAAAATCAGACTTGAAAAAAAATCAGGCCTGTACGGGACTCGAACCACTGACCTCTGCGATACTAGTGCAGCCCTCTACCAATTGAGCTAACAAGCCAACTAGCTCAATTGGTAGAGCGCTGCACTAGTATCGCAGAGGTCAGTGGTTGGAGTCCCCTACAGGCCTGATTTTTTTTCAGGTCTGATTTTCGCTATTGCTTAAATAGCGCTATCTACTGCGAGGATCGTGCATCATATGTATCTAATACCGCAGTACAAAAAATATGAACTTCATATATTTCATTGTATCTCATTTATCACTTTCACGGGTTTAGTACGAATCACCTTAACGGCCTGCTCCCAGTTGGCTTGTTAGCTCAATTGGTAGAGCGCTGCACTAGTATCGCAGAGGTCAGTGGTTTGAGTCCCGTACAGGCCTGATTTTTTTTCAGGTCTGATTTTCGCTATTGCTTAAATAGCGCTATCTACTGCGAGGATCGTGCATCATATGTATAATTTAAGAAATTAACAAGTGAAGCATGTGTAGAAAAAAGGATAAAAAAATTAAACCAGAACTTGAATGATAATGTGTGAAACTTAAAAATATAAGTTATATTATTCTTCTACATACTTATCCTTTTATTCCCACGAGTGACTAAGACAGAATCTCTCCTTTAAATATTAATGTGACATCAAGCAAACAAGAGATGAGAATAAAGATGAAAAATATCAATTGGTGGATTATAAGCTGATCCAATACCATAATTTCCCAACCAACCTCATGAGAATGGCATGGCAGACATTAAACATGAAGGCGCGCTATAAAAGGAGAGGTGCCTTAGGTACCTCTGAATCAGTTGTCAATCAACCATCGTGTGATGTAGAACTCTACGAGTCAAGTCAGCCTGAGCTATAGCTAATCCAAAGCAATGAACAGCGGGTGCATTCCTTAAAATTGTTTTATGTTTTCATCACAAAATAAGAATTTTTGAGATTTGTATTTCCTTTCTCCAATGGAAACTGTCTTTATTTGTGGCAGTAAATTTGAAATTGAAGTAGGTGGTTCGCATGTTACATCATTGCCACCATGCTGGTGGAAGTAAACATCTCATTAGCTCATTTTGTTCGTCTACCAGGCACATGAGTGACCTCTCCCTTCATAATGTGCCTTTGTGTTTAAGGAGAATTATCACATGAGACCTTGCTTATAAAAGGGTTGATAGAGGTAACTGAATCATAAGGTTAACAGATTTCTGTAATGCAAGCAATAGAGGACTTTTCCATGTTTAATTAATGGCCCCAACTAACAACAAAAATTTTCTCAACCCCCTTGTTGATAAGATGAGGCTGATGAAACACAGAAAAAGTCCCTTATTACTTAATATTATGAAAATTTCTCAAACATAAATGGAAATACAGAAAGTGTGATGTCTCATTGTGTTTGTCTACCTTCATTCAAACATACCATTGTGAGTGCACATACTATTTTAAATATTTTATGAAAGGTTTGCAAATGCACAGTGTTAAATGGATTTACAGCTATTTTGAATCGAATGAATAACAGAGACCTCTCCATGATTCATTCAATCACAATGTGGGAAAATCTTATTTCAAAGACAGATTAATTAAGTCAAAAGCTGATGTTTGGTCAGTGGATAGTTGGTCAATGTTCAGCTAAACCTTCAACACTAGTTGATAATAAATTGACATGTCAGTTGATAAACAAAGATAGACAAATAACAGTTGACTATCCACTGATCACCTGTCACCTGCTTATCAGCTGACTATTGAAATACTGTACATCTCTTGACTTAAGACTAAGATCATTGTATCATGTAACATTTTGTAGCATCCTCAGATGACATGTTCAGTGGAGCTGTATCGTGGAGCTGTATCATGAAGCAGTTTGATCTTCATAAGGCCTGTGACCAACATGTCCATGTAATGAGATATGGGGGGGGGGGTGACTGGAGGGGCTTGGTTTGGAAGTGGGGAGAGTTAGAAGGGAGGATGAGGAACAAGAGCAATGGAATTATGGTTGGTTACTGGTTAGTGGATTGCAAAAAATGAATAAAAGCAAATAAAAACAAATAATAATAATAATAATAATAATAATAATAATAATAACTGTAATGATAACAATCATAGTTAACACAATAATAACACTTACCTCATCAAACACAAAACACCAATCAGAACTGATGCAATCAGCCAGCCAGCATTTGCAAATGCCTTGGGCATTGTCAATGCTCCAACTCCAATAATCAAATTAAAAACGTATATAAAGGCCACCTGTCCGGATGAAGGAGAGAATAAAACGATATTTCCATGGGCTGATTGGTAAAATTTTCTCATTACACAATTTCGCAGAAGTCAGTCAAACATTGTTCTTGTCTTCTGCTTAGAGTTCAGAGCTTTCAATCATAAATAACTCAACTTCTTCACATGTTTTAGCAATTACGGACAACACATGAACAAAAAATACGCAAAAGCAGAACCTTCTTTAAACATTCGTGACGTCGAGGGGGAAAGCGAGAAAATTCGATGCAAGTAAATTACCTCCCTTGCAAACGCAGAGATGAATCAAGAATAACAACCTTGAAAAGAAAATAACCTACCGGCGAGGAATAAAGAGAGCCAGTCTCGGTAACTGCAACCATTCTGAACGTTAAAGATATTCCAGTGGTTAGCCGGCAAAAATAGTCCTAAGATTTACCCCAGAGGTTAGTCACATGTTTACTTCCGGAGAAAGTGTGTGCGCACTCTGATTGCGTTGCATCATGGTCGTAAAGCGAAAAATTGAATAATTTGCATCCAGTCTTCCAGAGCCAGACTTCGAGAATGACGAGTGAAGACATTCACCTACTTGTCATAACCGCTGACTACTATTTGTCTTTACAACTGTTGGGGGGTGAGTGAATTAAGTGGGTTGGGGTGAGTGAGTTATGAAAATCAACAGTGATACAGTCTTGGAGGGGAGAAAGATAGTCTTGGTACCTTACAGAAAAGAACACGTTCCAAGGTATGTTTGCAGAATCGTGTAATTGAAAATGAATTTTGGGGCAAAGATTTCTCAATAACCGTGTAATAATCTAAAACAAAGCAATAACCTCAGATGCAAATCTATGTGGTGTTTTGCCTTTGTCTTCTTCTATGTAAGAACTTCAGGTGTAATGACGTATCAGTTTATATGGAAATCTTGCCATTCTAGGTTCAAGATTATACGTTTGAAGATAAACTAAAAAAACTTAAGTTGTTTTGGTATCAGTCAGTCTACCTAACTGTGTCCTTCTGTCCATCCATGAGTTATCCATTTTACTTCCACAAGTGACCAAGTTAGAATTTCTCTCAATACTGTATCAATTAGACAAGTGATGAGAATAAAGAAGAATGTCAATCAGGGGATTATCAGTTGATCCAACACCAAATTCTCAAAACCAATATTATAAGAATTGTATGGCAGGCAGTAAGCAGCATTACTAATGAGATCTCTTGGGAGTGAAAGGGTTAAGGTGGCCGAACACAGTTTTCATGTGCACTTTTGCTAATGCAATTCAGCGTGTGCACAAGGATTGTAAAAAAACAAACGTGCCATCAATAGAGCGGTCATTTTATTTTCTCAACACGTACCCGTACTCGCACTATCTGTGCTATTTTTCTTTATAGTTAATAATAATAATAATAATAATAAAGCATTTATATAGCGCTAAGCTCGACTAGTTCTCCATAGCGCTTTACAAAAATATAGACTAATTAACATAGCAATTAAATTTTAAAAAAATCGTAATTTAAAAAGCATCTTTGAACAAGTATGTTTTGAGGTTCTTCTTGAAAATTGCAAGGGATTCAGATGATGCAGTGTATTGATGGTTTTAATCTTTTATTACAAAGATATTTTAGGAAAGGTGAAAGTGTAAAGAACCCAGTAATTCTCAGCTTTTTCGTTGTTACCGAAAGAACCCAGTCAAATGCAGCGCATGTGAAGGAAGTAAAAAAATTGCGATTGAATGGAAAACTGCTTTCTTGGAAATACGCCTATTTCTTGAAAACCACTCATTAGAATTTCACAAAATTTGGCACAGAAATACTTTAGGAAATAAGTAACTGGAGTATTGAAAAAAAACTGAACTTTAACAAAGGAAATTCTAGATATTTCAGTGAACCTTCAACGAGGTATAATTAAAGATCTAACTGTTAAATTATTAGCAAAATGGTGTCAACTTGTATCATTACAAGCTCATTGCATGCAAATTATAAGAAAATCTAATGACTAGATTTTCTACAAATAAACAAAACCGATTTTAAAAGCCAATTTATATTTGTTTATGTTGCCATGGCAATGATGCATACGTCAGTTTAACCATCAAAAAAACAAAGTTTGTGTTGTTAACTTGCTTGCTGCCATTTTTGGCGACCAAGGGATTGAGGGTTTTAGAGAAATAGGTGAAAAATTTTTCCTTCTCTCTGTGTTGAGCCACCTTAATCAATCAATTAGTCAGCTGGTTGGCGGGTCAGTTTGTCAGTCAGTGAGTATACCCTCTGCTGAGTGTAACATGAAGTAAGGAGAGTCTGAATTGGAGCACAGTAAATTTCTTTGTAATAATATTCTTTAGAATCTACAAAGTGTAATCTACAAATCTTTAGAATCTACAAAGTGTAATTTTCATTAATTTTCATCATTAATTATCCTATTCAGTTGTATTGCACTGTTTTATCTTCAAGATATCATGACTGGATGCAGTCACCAGAACTGTTGGAGCAAACCGCATCTGATAGACTGACCCTGGATCAAGAATATGAAATGCAACAGAGTTGGTTCTCAGATGAAAACAGTATGTCAGTTGCTAATTCATGGAAACTAAGATCAGTCCACTTCAGCTGTATTAAAAAGGCAGTCCTTGTTGTAAGGAAAAAGTCAAGAGGACAATTAACCTCTTAATCATAATTATAGTATGACTGGCTTCTAATTCCTCCTTTACAGTATCACCCTTGGATGAAATGTATATGTCATGAGAATAATGGAATAATCACCAATTTATGAAACTCCTGATTGTCAAATAAATTCTCTTTACCATTACCATAGGAAATGTGGAGAGATCAGTGAGGAGAAGACAAATATGAATGTTAGAGTGTAAAGGGTTTGAGACAAAAGGTTCAATCAGTCCAGGCCTGTTATCCTACAGCTGAAATTGAACAACCATTTGATCCACATACCAGATTCAAATTTTAATAAGCTAATAATTTTTTAAATATATAATTATTTTTTAACAATTTAGAGTGTACGTTTATCATCTTGGACAAAAGCAAATGGGTCCAACCAGAAGTTACAGAAATAGGTTTGTAAACTGTTCATGATTGTTACATCAGTTTCCCTGGAGTAACAAAAACTCTTTGTGTTATAAAATTTTTTAACAAAACCATGTCACATTGATAATTTTTGTTGGGCTGCAAAGGAAAATGTTTGGCCTTCGCTCATGAAGTTATGGACCATACTGCTTGAAGATACCACCCTTTTTTTAACCTGTTTAATTAATAAGCTAATTAAAAGCAATTAGGGATTCCTACTAGTGAGCGAAAAATGCCAGTAAAGTAGTTCTAATGCCAGTAAAGTAGTTCTCTATTGGCTCCGAGTAAGGGCTAAAGCTCGATTAAATATAAAAAGAACCTTCGCTCGGAAGAAGGGCTAACGCTGGAAACGTCAGCTTTTGTAATCATTACGGTGGCCAATTTACCATTTCAACTTTGTTGATGTATCCAAATTATTAAATACAGCCAGCACAATCTAAATGATGTCCTGAGAGCAAGCTACAAATGTGACAAGGTTACTTACATGAAAGATAAATAGATGATAAGTCACTAAGAGGGAAGAACATATGACTAATTCAAAACAACATGGCCAAATGACCTGCATCTTTCTGAGCTGGTCAGCATCCTAGTGCCCAAATGGGCTTCTGTGCAATTGTAAAGTGGTAAACTCTTCACTGCTCACAGTTCATGTGTCACAATCTCAAGTTATATATTTTCCTGTCTGCTTCTTTACTCAATATGTACGTACCGGTATTATTATATGCTGATAAATATTTGATTAACAAATTTATATGTGGCATTAACATAACCTTCAGTAATTGATGTTTTTTTTTTATGAAAAGGGCATTCACAATTAGAAAGGGAAAGATTATTTGTCCAGAATTAAGTCATAAACATAACTTTGGCCATAAGTAACTTAAAGAATATTTTTGTTGCTAGTATATGTTTGATTGTGAACTAAATATAAATTGTTTTTTGTTCAAAGAATGCATGGCTGGTGATGTTAATTTGTTCTTCAATGACAGCCAGCAAGAAGTTGCTGAGATAGAAATTATGATAGCAGGTAGAATTTACTGTGATAATTTTTAAAAGCATTTTCTCCTCCTTTCAACAAAGTAACTCCCTGAGTCAGAGAATTGTTTCTTGCCTAGTATGTGTAGCCTACATATCTTTGTTTGCCTTTCCTTTTAGTATAGGCAAGATCACCTTCATTTTTCTCACTCATTTCATAACTCTGTCTTGCATTATGCTAAGTTCTCTGGTTGGCAAAAAAGGGTTGCGACTTACTGCCATGCAAGACTATGTTATCTTACAAGCTGCCCTGCAGGAGATTTAAGTATAGGTCATGTGGCAACTCGACTCATTTTGAAACAAGTGTCTGCCTCAAATTCAGTGCACGTAAAACACATTACGCCATTAATCCAATGTCATGTACTTTACAGAACCGTCTTGTCGAAGGTGTGGCCTTGGAAGAGAAGCCCTATTAATCATGATGAGTTATGGTAACTATTGTACTCATTTTGTGGGAAACTCAAATTTATAATCACCCCTAGTTAGGTTTCAAGTAAGATTTTTCCTTTTAAATTTTGTATTTATCCTTCTAACCAGCCTGGACAATCCCAATTTTGCCGTGACATAGTAGAAGTCACCCCCCCTCCTCCTCCACAAAAAAAGCACTGTAGAAGTCACCCCCCTCTCCTCCACAAAAAAAGCACTGTAGAAGTCACCCCCCCTCCTCCACAAAAAAAGCACTGTAGAAGTCACCCCCCCCCCTCCTCCACAAAAAAAGCACTGTTTGTAGACACGGTCAGCATAATAACTTAGCGTCGGGGGCAAATTCTATCGCAAGAAATGACTAGGAGTAAAACTGAATTATGACTTTTCCCAGGTAGAATGCTCATTCGTCCAATATTTCTCTTCGCATCCTTTTGGAATTACCTTACGAGATAGTTGCATCTATGTACGCTCTTGGGTTGCACGGTGGCACTATAATGTTAACGTATCTTACCCAAGAACATCGGCGCCATGACACAGCGTTATGACCCCCCGCAAGAGAGGTCCAACTCACAACTCTTTATCCATGGCCAGAGTTTCTGACCATTAGTCTTTCTTATATCCCACTGGGACCGTTAGTATACTTATCACGGGTTTTGTTTATCTTTGTCGTGATACTGACTTTATCTCTCGTCTGTCAATTCCAGGCGTCACCTTCCTAGGAATACAGAAATATATAGCGAAGATTGGTTGCGGCAACGAACCGAGTTTAGCACTATTCCGCAAATTGGGTTTTGTGGAGGTCTGGGGAAAAGCGTTTTTGTCCTATTCATGAAATGATTATAAAGTCAGTTTTTCTTATAAGTTTATGGCTGTCGAATCCCTACACTGTGTTCTACAGTATGGTGATTAGAATAAAAACAACATGGACAATAGTGCAGTGATTTCGTGAGGTAATAGATACATTAAATGAACAATTCGAATGAGCCTAGCTCTGCAAGGTATAGTTTATATGTCAAATGTAAAGCTAATTTATATATACGCCTACGGAAATATATAAAATTGGAGACATCAGCAAAACAAGAAAAACAAATTGAAGGTTTTGCAGAGTGAAATAAAAGCTATTGAACTCATTAATTTGATCAGATTTATAATTTTTTTTCTCATTTGATAACAGATTTCCGTCAGCGAGGTATTCAAAGAGGTAACACTGGAGAGATATGTAACACAGAATGTGCAAAGACAGCTAACTCAGGAAACTAGTCACATTCTTCATCACAAATATCCCTACAGACCCACACAGAACTCTGAAAACAACTTGTGATCAATGAAGGAAACTATGGGAGTATTCACCGAAGATGTTTCGTCCACTTCGTCTTTTCAAGAGGACTGATAGCTCGGCGAAAGATCTTTGAGATCCGACATGGTCAACCATCGCTGCACATGCAGAGTCACAGAACTTCTGAAATGTCTGATAAAGGGACACGATCTTTTCACACCTCGTTTTTATCATGTGACAGGCCGAAGTTCCGGAACAAAGATTTCAGTATTTAGAACGCTGAAGGAGTGTCTCAGTCGAATGTTATAACAGTCGCTATTTAAGCGCTCAAGAATACCTATAGGTCAAAACTATTTGGTCACGGAAAGATAGGTACATTGTCGTGTTGTCCAGTTTCATAACTAGATTTTTTTGATAAATGTGTGGTGACAACATAACTGGAAGTCATTTACAGAACAAGATTGGAGTTTCTCTTCAACACATTAATAAGGAAAGAGCCAAAGTTGAATTGATTTACATCGCCTTCCAATGCATTAGCAACTGTCTCGCTTTCATCGTTAGTCAACTCGAAGGCCCGTGTCTATATCACTAATACATATGTGCAATCTAGTTCAATCCTCTTCATCCTTCGCCATCTTTGTTCTTTTTTCGGTTTATAATTATCTTGTACTTTTTTTTTCTTTTTTTTACTCGTAGAAAAAAAAGACTAAAAACACTATGACGTAACCCTTTCATCGTCTCTCGTGTTACCAACTCCCTTCCCTCTATATTTCCTCTCTCCCTCCCTTGCCCCAGGCTTCCTGGGTAAAAGAGAGAGAATAGGGAACTTAAGCAGTCACGACGGCAACACCTCGGAAGACGTCGATTAAAAAATTAGTTTCTACTTTTAGTTAGAATTTCGAAAATGGCTGCATGTGTTTACCGTCTCATAGGGCGCCAGACCTCAAACTCAACATAACGCGTAAAAGTAGCGTTGAGTTCCAAATGTAAATTAAAATAATTTGCCGCCGCGGTTTCGGTTCGCAGACGACACAAATTTGGGTGATTTCACGTTTATTGTTTTGCAAAGGACGGATAAGAAATGTACAAAGTTTTAAAACGCACGTGCTAGGCTATCGTTCTGCCAATTAGATCTATTGTTTTTCCAAGTTCTCGTTGCCGTTGCCGTTGCCGTCATGGTTTGCTTAAATTCCCTAATATCGCAGTTAGCTACGGTACTAAAGCAGTACTGAAATTAAGATCTCGGAAAAGGAGAATTATTCTTGCAAAGGATTCGAACCATAATTGGCCCTCGTTTTCCAAGTAGGTTCGAACGTTCGGGGGGGATCCCCACTGTTTCTGTTTATTTCCACGTTGGAGCATCCCACGGGATTCCCTGAAGTGTATCGAAAAGGTTTGGATATATCAACAAAGTTGAAATGGTAAATTGGCCACCGTAAGTTTACAAAAGCTGACGTTTCGTCGCTCCGACGAAGGGCTAACGCTCGAAACGTCAGCTTTTGTAATCGTTACGGTGGCCAATTTACCATTTCAACTTTGTTGATATATCCAAATTATTTCGTTACTCCCACCGGCGCAGCCCCAAACAGTTTCTTTCGAGACTATCAGCCTTTATTCATTTGTATCGAAAAGGGACAACCTCAAAATGAATGAAAAATATATCGCTGCAGGCGGAAGTATGTTCTCATTACTGACGTTCCTTCTTTCTACTGATGAAACGTTGATGAGTCAACTTCCGAATTTGTAGTTTTCCGTGGTAATTACAAAGACAAATTGAAATTTTCGTTTTCAGTAAGATGGCTAAATGATAAAGAATGCGCTATTTACTTCTGTTTGAATCGAAGAAAGTGCAACAAATATCCGTTCTGGGCACCCAAGGTTCATTGAGTAAAGTTCGATTTATACTTCAAAGTATATGGGTATTTCGTTTTTAAAAAGAATCTTTAGAAAGAGAACGTTCGTTTTACTAACTAAAGCTATGTAAAAAGTTGACCTCACGGAGGCAAGACACTGCGAATTAGCGAATCATGTTAGAAGGACTTAAGCTTTTCCATGCGCAAAATATTTGATTTTTTTTTCAGTTTTGACTTCCAAGCTTCCTTTTTGGGCGTTTTTTTTTTTTCCGCGAACCGCTAGATAATGCTATTTAAACTGAAACAGACTTGACATGTGGCTCACGTGATACGAGATTTTGGCCTGTTATTGTCGACCCGAAGCAAATCAATTCAACTGTTGACAAATAATTCAGTTTCGGACAAATGTTCGGCTCACTAGAATATAATTATCGTCCTGGCATGACTGAGCAATAAGTTAACTGACTAACAAGTTTATCGGTGGCAAATGTTTGAAAAAGATGTCCACGGTTAGGAGACAAAATGAAAAGGCTAAAACTGCCATTGTGGCGCTAAAACAAGAGAATGGAAACGATGTCTGTGCGGACTGTTGCAAACAAGGTAATGGTGTCATATTTTGGTGAGATATGTTTAGATGTTTCCTGGCGTTGTTAACGAGTCCACTAATGCATCCAAAAAAATGGCAATTAGCTGGGTAGCTGCGCAAAACTTTATTCTTGTAAGTATCGAACAAAGCCATAGAAAAAGCGGCGAGGTATCGTAGATATGAAATGTCTGTAACTGTCAGAAGGCGTTGTGGGCCGATACAAGCGCTTCAGAAGTCGGTGCTTCAAGGAAAGCTGTGCTTTAAGGTCGCTTATTATAGGTGATAGTGTCTTTCCATCGTACTACCTCATCCATTCGCTTTTCAAATTAGAGGGATTTTATAAGCTCCTCCACGCGACAGTAAATAAAGCCTAGCATTTGAACAGACAAACCGATGGACTCACAAGGCTCAAGTCAAGAATCAGTCTGAACGATAAGTTGATGTGACACTTACTTCCTAATAAGCTTAAACTTAGAAATTAGCATCTATGGTTTCTCCCAACAGATCCTAGCTTCACTTGTCTGAAGAAAGGGCTATTTTTATGCCAAAACTGCGCTCAAGTCCACACAAGTTTTGGAGCTACACATTCAAGGACTAAATCTATTGATCTAGGAAACTGGAATGAAGAAACTCTACAGGTAATGGAAACCGCATTATTCAACTATTTGAATCTCTATAGAGACCATACTATGTACATGTCACAATGACCTGGATGTATTTCATATCACTAGATCACATAACAATCATGAACGAGAATTTTGTGGAAATTTCTTTATCTCTAAGGCCCTGGAAATCCAAATACTTCGTTGATTTTATTCATGAAATTTATTTGTGGAATGGTGCTCCGAGATCCCGATTCACGCCATTGAACATGCAATGTTTTCTTTTCGCGCGCACGAAACCTTGTCACGCGTCAACGGCAAGTCACGAAATCAATCAGTAAAGACATAGTTAGTAGACTACTAACTATGGTAGAGATGACAATTTCTTTTGGGTTAGCATAAAAGCGATCGCATTAACTGGATATCAGTTATCATAAGCACCAAATCTTCATTTGATATGCGCGCACTCAGAGCAGCGACGCAAGACCCACTCCATTCACACTTCCTTGTTTAATGGTCTGTATCGGCAGTACAGAGTAAGGCTGTCAAGGAAGTGGTTTTGTTTAAATGATTGACATTGTAAAATTTCGTGGTCTTTGTTCCCTGTTCGTCAAAGACACAGATTTCTGCCATTCCTTTTAAAGTCATAGCAAAGTAAATAATGCTTCTCTATTCACTAAGTAACGGAATATTCCGGGGCCCTTAAGGCGCCCATGAGGCGGAGAAATTTGTCCATCTGCAGCGTAATTGCCAAAACCAGTTCACCTCCACTGGCCAAGCTGCAAGAAAACGTATAATATTTAATAAAAAATTGATTGAAAATTCTAATGGAAATACACGACAATTATTTCCTACTTAATTCACCGACATAGTATAAACAGTACCGTCGGAACTTAACCTTATATTCGAACAAACCTTTTCAAAAACATAACTATTCGAAATTACTTGTATCTCACTTCTACAAGTGCTTTCCCCATATTCGCACGCAAAAGTCCTGTCAGTTTGTTTCTGCCTGTTTCCAATTGTGGTATTTATGTGTTCCTGTATGGTTTCGAATGTCCTTATGTTGCGCAAGGAATGGGGAAGAATAACAATACAGAGGAAATGAGCGTGGGAGAGCGTGATACTTTCCTCACCCCCGTTGGTACGCGATGAGCTCGCCGCATTCAAAATGACGGAAAAGAACAGGGTAGCGATATTGGAGTTGATGAAACAGCCTTCAAACAACACATGTGCGGATTGTGGAGCTCCAAGTAAGAATTTAAAGCTTAGGTCGTCATTCGAGATGACCAGAGGGCCAGCTCTGAAAATTTATTTTGAATTTTCGATTGATTCCCTTTGCAACTTCCTGTAATGTTCTGTCGTGCAGATCCCGAATGGTCATCAGCGTCAAAAGGGCTGTTCATTTGTATCACGTGCAGTGGAATTCACAGGAATTTAGGACCACAGCTCTCTGTCGTCAAGAGTTTAAGGCTTGATACTTGGACAGATGAAAAATTAAAGGTAAACTCGAGATTGATCAAGGCGTTTGCGACTTTCAGTGCGTCAAAGCGTTCAGACCTCTATTCTATTTTTTCAATACCCCATGTGTCCTTCTCAAGGCGTCAGATATCATTGCTCTAGACTAGATTCTCCGATCATTTGACTTTATATGGAAATTATGAGAGGCTCAATTCAATATTGCTTGTCGGGCTAAGCTATGATTTTTCAACGGTACATATAGATGTCATATTGAAATTAACACTGACCTGTACATACGATTTACGCCTAAAACCTTTAAAATACTCCGTTCGAATCACTGTCAGCAAGGCTTGCCACCTGGATTTTTCCGCCGGACTCCGCTTTAGCCTAGAAAATCATCCATTGCATAAGCATTTGTGTGTTATTTTTATGAGTTTCTTATTCATTTCCTTGCTCAACTGTCATTTTTTAGAAATGTCTATTATGCCAAATTGACTTGGCCATTTATATTTGATTATCGTTCAATTGACGTTGACAATTATCAGATTGAGTTTCCTAATTTAAATATTCAATATAACAGTTATTTTGAACAACAAATAAGTGTAAAACAGTTGTTTTCAAATTCCATGATGTGACTGGCACAGCAAGTCAAAAGGAAACAAAGATAATCCTTTAATATTTGACCCTCGGAGAAATATGAAGAAAATTTTAAATATTATACATATCAGACTTAGTTAAGATAAAGAGAAAGGTCCGGGGTTGAAAGCCAAAATATCATTTCAATTAACAGCTAAGTGACTACATTCTGTAGACTTAGTTTATATAATATTTTTTGGCTGATTATAATTGCAACAAAGATATTTCTAGAAAATATCTACTAATGGCTGTTTTGTGGAGGTTCTATATTTGTTTACAACTTGTAAATTGTTTTTTCTGATTCAGGGTTTTCTTTGTTGAAAAATTTCAAACCAGTTATATCATTATTCAACCCTTTGGCATGATCTGAAACTAAGGAAGGATGACTTACACTGATTTTGAAAACTTGCCCAATCCAAAATTCAAACTAACATCACCTACAGGGAAATTAACTACTAAACAAATAGATTCTGTGTACTTTACAGACCCACAATGCTATAGAATCTGTTTGTTGTATGATGTAGAAGAAAAATGTTGTTTACATTTCTCTCCTCCAATAGATTATAAGTAAGAATCAATAAAAATACACATATGATCAGCTTATTGCATAAAATATTTTAATAGATAGGGTGAACATATGTTACATTTATCATTTCTTAATCTATCCTATAAAAGCAACGATATCCATTCTACTGGATCAGACCACAGCTAAACACCATGGACCAGAAACAATATTGAAGTACAAGTTGCTGCTAGTCATGTATTGATGGATTTGAGGGCAATTCTTTTAATTATGTATTCTAAATTTGACATTCCTCTTGTGATTTAGTGTTTGAATCCCTCAGGCAAGTACATACAACTCCCTTGATTAAAAAGAAATCAATATGGGAGCAAAATTTGATCCTCAAAAATCTTGAGGTGAAAAACCAATGTATCCCTTTTCATCTGGAGCTTTCAAGTGACTTCCTGGTATCTCCAAATAGGCAGTAATTCTAACAATGTAACAAACATTCTAAAAATTCTGTTTACTGATACCAAAACAAAACAAATAAGCAAACAACATGCCAAACAATGGCTAAACTGTAATGCAGTCTTTGAAATGTAAGGAAATCACTATAATTTAGGTGGAGTGACAAGACCTTAGAATTTTGCCACCCAGTGACTGCCAACTCTTGTCTTACTAAGACAAAAAGGAAAATTAGATTGAGGGGAGAAGATTGTCAGCTGAACAATTCAGTGATGTACCAGCTGTAATTGAACAACATGGCAATTTAAATGTGTAAACATGTCATCAATTATGCAGCACATCAGAAAAGGCTTTGTGGGTGAAATTGTTTTCTAATATATTTCTGGATGTATTTTTTCAGTTCAACTTTTTATTTAATGACGTTTTCATCATTTAACAATGTACTTTTTATATGCATACATAGAAATATTATCAGTCAGAGTATCATTAATGTTTTGATCTTGATCAAGCAGTCTTGAAATCTTCTTGACATTTGTCTGACATTGTATTATAGGACTGGGCAGAGAGTCATAACAGGACAGAAACCGTGCCCAGTGTAAGGGCTGCCTGTTGCCCTTCAAAAATCCTCAGAAGACTTTTCCAAAGGATTTGTGAGGGACAACTGGAGGTACTTACATACAGTGGGTACCCCACCCTCCTGTGATGATTATATTAACCCATTAATGGCCGCAGCTTTTGTGGAAAACTGTGTTTTGAAGCTAGTCGAGCAGATTTCGGGTCTCTGTTGTGGTTTTAAAAGCTCAAACTTACCAAAAACCCTTTGACAGCTGCAAAAATGCAAAATGGTGGCCTGAAAATCTTGGGCACGCGCAGAAAGCAAAATTTCGAGATAGTTTTTGGGTTGAAAAGTAATGCCCCACTTATGACTTACTTTTCTCTCTTTCTCCTGCCCTTTTTTTCCCCTCTCCTTGCCTGAAGTTTCTCCTCACTAGCTGGAAATTTAGTAGGCTTCATTTTGGTGTAGTGATTTTTCAGAAACTACTCATTATTTTCAAACCACATGCTCAGAAAGGTAGGTGGGTAATGGAACAAGATTTTCGTCCAGATTTTCAGGTCAAAGTTAGATGGTTTTTTGGCTATTTCCTCAATCTCCTTCACTCAATTGCGCTCATTCTGGTATTGTTTGTAAGATATTTTCAACCTGTTCAAGTACGTGCTCAAAGTCGTGCTCCAGGGTTAAAAGTGATGACGTCACAAGGCGTAGAAAGGGTGTGGGTCCCCATGGGCGCATACAGGCGCACTGGACCTCCATAGGTTAAGTGAACAGTTGACCAGACATCCTTACTGTTCAGTTAAACAGCTTCTTAATATTTTTTTTCTTACTACCTATCTCTGTTTTGTTTTCTTCTTCATAGTTTATGGAAGAGCATGGCAATGCTAAGGGGAATGCAGTGTGGGCCAAGAATGTCCCTCTTTGCTATCGGCGACCAAAGCCTTCAGATGCACAGTAAGAACACTTTTAATCAATTGTTTTTAATGATACACTTTTTATTTTCAATGCTTGGGACTACACATACCACAATGCATGAACAGATTATTGCTTAAGATTGACAAATTGTTACTTAACCCTTCACCCCTAAGGGGTGATTGATAATTATGTAACCCCTCCCTATTATTTAACAATTATTCGCCGTAGGGGAGGTGAATATTCACTGAACCTCAGGCGAATAATTGTTTTAGTATAATTTTAGAGCTGAACAACAGAGAAATTTCTAAAATCATAACATTTTACTAACATTTATTAACATTTTATTTTAACATTTTATATCAACCATGTTAAGCGGTTACATAGTGTCATATTAGGAACCTCTCAACCAATCAGATTGCTGGAAACTCTTTACTCAGCTCTGAAATTATACTAAATCCATATGTTATGAGAATACTCAAACTTATCAGGTAGAAGTTGTTATCTTGACCTAACACCAAATTCTCATAACCACTTTACAAGGAAATGTGTAGCAGCTAGAGGGAAGAATTTGTAATCAGATCATAGGAGTTAGAGTTAAAACCTGAAGGGTCTTCCTAGAAAAAGGATTCTGGCAACTGAAGGTGCCTTACTGCCATACTGGTGCATTCATGTCAATAATGGTGAAATGGCTCAATTCTGTGATGGGAGTCTATCTGTGTTTTATACTCTACATCAATTTCATCTTTTAAATAGAATGCTTTTGTTATCTTCAATAGAAAATACAAAGCAGCATAGTTAATTGAAAGCATGTCAATTTTCCCTGAGATCAAACCATCTAATGTATTAGTTTTTTTGAATTTATATCTGATATTTCATAAATTAAAGATTTCACTTTTTCCTCTCCTCATTCTCTTACCTTTTCATTTGATTTTGGGAAAATTCAGTGTGCTGAGGGAGCAGTGGATAAGAGCAAAATATGAGCGAAAAGAGTTTATTGATGGTGCACCAGAGCCAAGTTATTTAACAGGTAGAGTGAAAGGCTAGCTTTGGAAAACCCTGTAAATCAATCAATTATCCATTCATCTGTCACTTTGTACAACACTAATTCACTCCATTTTGTTGTGCAAGTAATGTTTCTTTGGTTTTTGAATTAAATTAACTTTTCCATTCTCTATTTGATTTTGTTATTCATCTTTACCAATTAATTAAATATATGCAATTTATTACTTCAGGCTCATTGAGAGGATATTTAAGAAAAAAAGGAAAAGAAGATAACAGCTGGAACCTGAGACTTTTTGTTCTATCTGCGGCGGACAATTCACTTGCCTACTACATTAGAGATCAGGTATTTTTTAGTTGCCATGCTTGGATGCTGGGAAAAATGGGGGAAAATTTATATTGCCTCTAAAACAGATATCTTCACTATGCACCGTGAAGATACTCTAACACATGGAGATATCATTGTTGACTTTAGTTAGTAACTAGCTAAATTGAAGTGTTATTTGATCTCTGTCCTTACAAAAGGCTTTTTTGATTTAAAGTGCCAATGACATGAATTTTTTTTCTCGGTTTTTCTGAGCTTGATGCAGATGAAAAACGATTTTAACCTTTAATCTGGGAGGGAATGTCTTCAAACCCCTTTTTTTTATTTCAAAACACGCGCTATCTGCGAATGAAATAGTCCCCTCTTCTGCACGGCCTAAAAGTCACGTGATTTTCTTTCGTGACGTCGAGTTGTGTACAGCCATCGAAACCAACATGGATGACAGTGCGGCAAAAAGAGTGATTCTATAATCTATAGAATCAGTAGAGTGACACTCGCTAAAATGAATGAATGACTCGCCTCTCACCTCCACACGTTCCGCAACTTGGTGTTTTGTGTACACAAAATTATGTCACAAAGGCTGTCGCAAGGGTTGAACTAGGTCCCAGACTCTGAGACAATTTTCACTACAAAATAGTACTTTTTAGAGCACAAGAATTCAGGATTGAAAACTTTTCCACGGGATTGAAGGTTAGAATCATTTTTTATATGCATCAAGCTAAGAAAAACCGAGAAAACAAAATTCATGTCATAGGCACTTTAATCAACCTTATTTAACTTGAGTGAAGGTTTCCTTGGAAATTCATGACTCTGAAAGACTGTAAACCTTGTGATCGGATAATAGAATGGAATAAATTTTGCACTTGTAAGTGCAAACTTGAAACAAAGATCTATTACATGCTGTCATCTTTTCGTCATCTAATTAAACTACTTTCTGAGTTCATTGGTGACTATCCTTACATTTATTTCTTTTAGGATAGGGAACCGAAAAAGGATTTGAAAATCACTGAGATTAATGTCACCTTTGCGGAAGAAAGAACTAATAAGGAAAATAGTCTTCAGATAACATATGTTACAAAGGGACGGACAAGGAATTACTTTGTGTACTCTGAAAATGGACAGGTTTGTTTTAAAAAGCATGAATTTATTTGTGTAATATAAAGATGACAATGATAGAGTAATGAAGAACAATGATTAAATTTGTGTGAAGGCAGGAAGGTGGCTGGGATTGTGCAGTTATGGGGTAGTGGGTGGGGAGAGGGCAACATTTAGATTTTGGAAATGGGAATGATGCAGTAGAGTGTAGAATGACTGGGGAGTGGGTAAAAATTATATTAGGAGGTGTGGGGCAAATTAACTGCAATGCCAAGACCACTTTCCTTATGTTGGCAATACCTATGTACAATATAGGGCTGGGATACTTAACTTATAGCCTATATACTACATTAAAAGACATACAATGCATTTTTACATATTAGTATTGAAAGACCCAAACAGACCGAAGTAATTACAACATCCTGTTAGAACAAAACTTGAGATACAGCAGGGAGGGAGGGAGGGAGATTTTGAAAACTGATCATTGAGTACTGAAAGATATAATGTTATAAGTTCAAATCAGTTTGCTATTCTCTTATGCTGATAATTAATTTATTTTTAATTCTCCAGGAGGTTGTGGAATGGTACATGGCCATCAGGAAAGCAAAACTTGATTTACTTGGATACAATGAATCTGATGTTGACCAAGAGAAGGTAGGGTAACAAATAGAATCAGATTGTTAAAAATCTTTTTACTCTTATCCTTGCTTTAGGGCTTTGGTTGTTCAATCAGAGTTGCTATTGAACAAAAAAAATTCCACTGGCTGTAATTTGGCCATGTATCTTTGCAGTGCAGAATGAGAAGTCTGAAACAATAGCTGGCAACTTTGACCCACACTGAACCCTTACCTCCCAGATTCTAGTTGAGCACTACTATCCGCTAAGCTAAGAAGCTAAGAAGCTAAGAAATAATACAATCTGATTCCCAAGGGAATGCACGGCTCGACAGTAAGGGTAGCCGACTAGCCACAGACTGGTAGAAATTCAGTTTTGGCTAGTGGTTTTCGATTTCCGCTAGCCAGTTTGGTTAGTAAATAAACTGAAATTGTCGTAAAATCTAAGATGTCACCAGCCACTGGGCTAGTAAGTTGAGAAGTTAGTGCCGAGCCCTGGAATGTATGGAGCATATCACATTTCAAGCTGTGGATTTAACTGTCATTTTGTGTTGTTTTGTAGTTAGAGAAAGAGCTCACCAGGGACTTCACTATGCAAGGATATTTGTCTAAGAGAGGACCAAGGGTGAGAATGAAATGTATAATAGAATTTTTGGAAATTCGATGAAAAGTGATAGATTTTCAATCGGTAATTTTTAGTATAATGAATGTGCTTGCTCACGATAATTTCCAATCGTTTCGCTACAGAGTTCTTGAAAAGTTGAAGCCGATTTGCAACAAAGTCATTTCGCTCCAAATCAGTGGTCGATTCGACACAAATTTAAGTCGTTTTGCTCCAAGACTAAACAAGGAAACGACCATAAATCCCCACGACTGTCCGAGTTTATCCCAGTAATTCTTGGCGATCGATACAAAATGTTTTACAAATAGATGGATGGCAGTCCGAAAAAATGTTTTTCGTTATTTTTCATTCTATTAGGATGAACCGTGGAGGAAAAGGTGGTTTTCGCTTGATGTCAGAAGACTTCTGTACTTCGAACAACCAATGGTACGTACGACCAATACTAAAAAAGTATTCACCGAAGTGGAGGTATTTACCGAGTTTGGGTAGCCAATGAGAGCGCTCCTCCAACGTAATCCACTGTCTTGGTATATACTAATACATGATAAGAGTTCGTGTATATCGAGGCATCCAATTCATAATCCAGTATGAAAATTGGGTTGTTATACATGATTGTCTTGGGTTGCCATATTTCACAATGTGATCGTTCCGGAAGACTCACGCCATCTCCTTTGCAAATCAGACGCAAAGTTAAATTCTTTACGATTTACTTGATCACTTATGTTTTCTCGAATTTCATAGCCGTTTATTTTTTGTATTTACTTTGAGTTCTAATTGGCTAACGAGATATTAACGTGTTGTTGGTGAAGAGAATGGACCAATCACAGACCGAGGTAAAGCAGAAACAAAGGAAAGTCAGACATGGTTAGATGCTACTCTGGTTTAAAGATTTAATGAATGTAACCGGAATTTCAATTCATTGACCCAACGTTTCGACACTCCTCTCTAGTGCCTTCATCAGGGGTGTTATTCGTCCGTTCCAGCGTTCCTCAGTATGCATATTCTCCATACTGTTCTCTACTCATTTCAACGTCCTTACAAGGAGAACTTGTTTAACGATCAAGAACTTCTATAGTTGATGATCATTTCCTTTACTCTTGTGAAATCAATGTTTGATTCAGGGGTGATGTTGTAAGGAGAAAGTAGATGCTAATCACTCTTAGAGGGTCCAAGGGCTAACTAAGTTGTGACTTTTGAACAGGACGCTGTGGCGAAAGGTGAGTTGATCATTGGCTCCCACACTGAAGGCTTTGCTCTTCAAGAAGGAGTTAAATCAGGAAAGCATCAGGACGAAGACTACTGCTTCACTCTTACAACACCTAAACGAGAATTTGTTATGATGGCGAATACTGAAAATGAAAGAAGAATGTGGATGGACTGTTTGTCAAAAGTCATTTCACAACCCATGACGGACGAAGACAAAGAAGGTTGGAGTTACGTTCTTTTGTTTGATTTTCAACTCCGATTATTGTATTTCTAGTGTTCTGATTCACCTTCCATTCGCGCTCGTTGGATACAAGATTGGTCATAGCCATCTCGGTGCTACGCGCCCCGTTGGCTATGTTCCATCTCATACCCAAAGCACGCTCTTGGAATGATTATTTTTTCTCCCTTTTTTTTTTTTGCGATTGATCGATTAAGGTAGCAGAGAGCTCAGTGACATCGATTTTGTTTTTGTTTTTTTTCATTTTAGCAAAACGTCGCCACGCATGCCAGCAAACCGGTAGTTTTGCTTCCCCTGCGAACTCTTCACATTTGTTTAGACAGTTGATATTTTTGTGCTTCTTAAACTTACAAAACGGCTACTTCTT